TGAATAAAAAATGGCCGCGGACACGAAAATAATAGAAAGGACACCATATACACAGGAGGACGTCCTTTATAGCGGGAGGACGTCCCTAAACCACAAAGGACGTCTTTCGGCCTATATTCCCGTCCTTCGTCCCCATGTCCGTCCTTTCTCTTAATTAACATTTTATTAAAAAATGAAAAACTTACAAAACTAAAAAGCAAAGTCTTGACAAAGTGACAAATTAATAGTTTTTATCGAAATTCCATAACCATGAATCAAACCAATTTTGTGTTGGAATCGGCAACATGGCTTGATTTACACCAACGAAAACCCAATTGGTCGAAAACAGTTTCGGTTCATCCACTCTTTACTCAATCTCGTCCCGACACCCCAATCCCACCATACTCATTCTCTCAAAAAATTGAGTGGGGAGATAACTGTCCTAGTCTTATTATGTTTGAGTATGTTCTTGAAGATCCAGTCCTCATTTTAAACTCAACATCTCACATTATTGCCACTTCGCTCTTTGGAGAGATTTTGCAGAACGAGAAAGTCGTGATTCCTGTCACTCAACACAATCTAAAAACTACTGACTTTCTCATTGTTAAAAATCAACAAACTGTCACAATCACAGAACCCTGTCGAGTCTATTCTGCGCACCAAATCTTTTTCACTCAAAAAACAGACATCCCAAATCCACTATCAGATTGTGCAAGACACACTCTTGAATCTTCTGATTCTGTTGAAAAAAGAATTTTACAGAACGAAATTAACAAAATAGAAAATTTCGAACTATTGCAATTAGAAAAGGAAAAGAAGCAGAAAACGAGAAGCCCCGCGGAACGAATCATTGAGGAATTACAAAACAAAAAGTTGAAAAATAATTTTCCAAATGAAGTTTTTGAAACTGAAGAAAATGTTCTCATGCTTCCATGGAATCACCTCGAATTTGATTGGATGCTTCTTCACCACAAAATGGTTCCGTTTGTCACCACTCGTTTCTCCATTGACGGGAGATTGAGATATTTCATTGACCATGTTAACTATCGTTTTGCGAAGCGCAAGAAGGAGAAGTGGATGAAACTTGACGATATAAAACGCGAGTTAAACAAGAGGGGAATTGACGATTGGAGATGTGATTTAAATCACGACGGGGCGTTGGAAGTGTTGAGGAATTTGAAAAGAAGAGACAACTTGAGTGAACGAGATTTGAGTGCAGAGGAGATTGAGTTTGTCAGAACGGTCATAGATAAACAGAGGGATTTTGACTTTGCTTATCTCAGCCAACGTGTTGGCCCCAGAGAAGCTCCGAAGATAAAGGGGTCTAAAAACGTGAGGAATTGTATATCGGCGATTGTTGATGGTATCACCGGACTCTCTGATACTGAAAAAGATGTGGTACGCGATGCTTTACTTAAAACAAAGAAACGAATGTTGAAAAGATTTCAGAATGATATTCCGATATTGATGGAGAAGTGTATGGAAGGCAGGAAAGACGAACTTACTCGAAGTCTGGTTGACTTAGCAGGAAGATATATGGAAGAGGAGTGAGGGATATATTAATGTTATTTAAAATGTTATTAAAGCCATTTGTTGTGTGTTTGAAGCAATTTAGTGTTTTGTTATTTACCATCACAAATCCAAAAGGAAACTTGAAAAGTCAAAAAATTTGAGTATGGCAGGTCGTTTAATAGTTTTGTTGATCAGTTGTGTAGTGTTTGGGTGCGTTGACTTTTGCTTGGAGTACACACAAGAAATGAAGTGCACGAGATGCTTGCCAGATTTTATTAATAAAAATGGGAAATGCGTCTGTTTGTCTCTTCTAGTTTTTATTTACAAAAAATACCATAATTATGAGAAATGTTTTTGACGACTCATCTCAAGATTTTAAAACTGAATTTTTGAATTGTGGATCGACGAATGGGGAGATTTGCACGTCATGTCTTCCTGGGTATTATTTAAGTCAAGAGAACACGTGTCACAGTTTGTTACATTGATATAATATAATAATAATATAATAATATAATAATATAATAATATAATAATATAATAATATAATATTATAATATAATATAATATTATAATATATTATTATAATATAATACAATTAATAAGAATTAACACATATGTGTCGATGGGAAGTGTAAAGAATATGATGAATATGATGGCGAATGTTTGAGTTGTTATGCTGGTTATTATGTACGTAACAACACGTGTACGCCATGTTCTTCACATTGTCTAGAATGTTCATCTGATTCATGTCTTCAATGTGAAGCGAAGTATTATGTTTACGATGGTTACTGTAGACGGTCGTGTAACGCAAAGTGTCAATTGGTGAATTCGGACAAAAGTTGTCAAATGTGTGAATTTGGGTATGGACTTGACACAACAGGGCGTTGTAAGAAATGTTCTGTGACGAAGTGTTCTGATTGTGTTTTTAAAAACATTTGTACTTTGTGTAGTGAAAATTATATATTAAAGAATAACACATGCGTTACGTTTGTTACTCTCCCATATTGTATTGAATATTCATATGACTACATCGACTGTATTAGCTGCCAAAATGGATACAAAATTGAGAACGGGAGGTGCACAAAATGTCCTGCAAATTGTGAGCAATGCGGGAAAACTTGTGATCGATGTGATTTAGGGTATTACTTGGACACCAATGAAAACAGTGCAATACAAAATGTGAGATGTGTGAAATGTCCATTACTCAAAAATTGCAAATATTGTTTGGGGAAGGAAAGTTGTGAGATATGTGAAGACAAGTACCACGTCGATGATGTGACTTTTGAGTGCATTCCCAATGTGCAATTCTGTATTTTGTATAACAACACAAAATGTGTATTATGTGACGTGGGACATTATTTACTTAATGACAAATGCATTGATGGTGTTCAACACTGCGACACACATTTTGCACTAAATAAGTGTGTGACGTGTGAAGAAGGCTATTTCGCTTCATCACAACTCCAATGCGCGCAATGTTCGACAAACTGTGAAACTTGTGAAGGAGCGAATTCTTATTGTACATCATGTGGTAAAGGAATGATCGGCTTTAACTCTTCTTGTGCTCTCTGTGAAGACAATAAATGTGACAAGTGTACATTAGATGGTGAAAAATGTTATGAATGTGTGTCTAATGGATATGAAATTAAAGATAACAAGTGTCAACAATGTTCTGTAGGATGTTATCAGTGCAGTGGAAATGGGAAATGTCTGCAATGTAATGAACCGTATTATTTAGAACCGTATTTTGGTAAAGATGGTGGTTGTGTCTTAAACTTAACTAAAAGACCAAAAAATGTTATTCCCGTTTTTATCATTTCTGTTATAGCAGTTTTTGTTGCTGTGTTGGCAGTGTCTGTGTTGTTGATGATTGTTATAATACAACAAAAAAAGAAGAGAACAGAGAAACCAAGTGATGAAAAATGAGTTGTTATTTGTTTGTTTATATATACAAAAGTAATGAACTTAAAATATGTTATTTTTAATTATATTAACTAGAGTTGGTGGAAGAAGTCTGGCTCGTTTTCAAATTATAGTAAAATTGATATTAATTTAAGTTGAAAATTATTTTGACTGATTTTATTTAATTCATTGTTGATTCAGACTTCAATCAACAATTTTCAATCAAAAACATTACGTTGATAATGAGATACACTTGAGATATGTTACTGAAAATATATACTTAACTATCGTTTTTTATTTGTATAAATATTTGTAAAAAAATATATGAAAAAATCGCATTATTCTTCAATAATATCAATGTATCAATTAAAATATTAAATGAATGATTTATCAAAATTTATTATTTTTATTTGATTATAATGTGTACAAAACTGTAACTATACGTTCATTCATGAACGGAGAGCTTACTCAATTAGGTCATTTGAGAAAGCAGAATACTTTATTTTTAGAATAATAATTTTTTTTCAATTAAAATCTTTCAACATCGTTTCACCAAATGATTCACATTTTTTGTGATACAACAACAAAGTAACAAAAAAACTTAATAAGTTTTACACTCTTAATTTGTGGTATTTTAAAGTTTTACAATCATCATACGGAAAATAAACACATTTCAAAGTGTCAATTAAACCTTTCAACAAATTAATTGACGATGATAATCAATTAAATAAATCTTCGAAATATGCTTTGTTAAAACCTGCCGACACATGGAAAATTTATTGTCACTAAATTTTTTCAGTAAAATTCACACTTTCTTCATTTTCTTTTTCAATTTCACCGTTATCATTGAAATTGTATTTTATTCCATGAATCATCACAACCTCATTTTTGTCGAAAATGTTCACTAAATTAGTTTTTGTTGGGGGTTTGACTGGAATTTACTAATAAAAATTGACTCATTCCAGTTGAAACAATAAATTTTTTTATTAACTTCCATTTTTAAATCACCATTACCATAAACTATATCGGATAATAGATGTGTATTTGAATTGTAATAAGATTCGAGACCAACAACTTTTTTGTTGGTTTGTAAGATTGGGTTGTTTTTTGTACTTTGTTTCTTTTTTGGCCTTCCCATTTTCTTTGTTTTGTTTCAGTGTTAACCAAATTTGAGTTTCGCCCAAGTGTTGGCCTCTTCGATGTTTCATTATCAATCATTGTGTGTTTGGTTTTTTGTTTTTTGATTGTTTCCATTTAAAAACAAATATAGTATGTTTTTCTGTTCATTAGACAATATTGGTACATTTGTTGAAGTCATTGTGTCTCTTTTTGAAATTAAAGTAATTATATGATTATTTGTTAACATAAAAATGGTAAAAGATTCAGCCTGTCAAATGACAGCCGAATTCAAAAAAATATAATTAATTGATAAAAATAGTTTTTTAATTGAAACCCTATTTTTGAGTAAGCTCTTTTGAAAATAATTATTTTAAAAAATAAAAAACGAAACTTGCAAACAATTTTATTGTTAAAAGTATGACATCAAACTAGTATTGTTAAATTTGAATTAAAGTATAAAAATCAGTTATTGTTACACCCATCATTATTTTGAGAAATATAAACTGTTTTTCAAAACTCTGTACTGGGATGCCCCGATTTTTTAAACAAATAATTTCTAAATAATTTTTCCGTTGCTTAACCCTCATTTTTTGTTATAAACATTTACTCAAAAAAACAAGATAACGAACTTGAATTTTTTTAATTTTACTTGACAAATAAATCTTGCATAAAAATTTACTTGAAAATAATAAAAAACAAACTTCGGATTAAAATTTTGATTACCATAACACAATTTTTGCCAAAACCGTAAACACAACTTTATAATTGAATTTCCATGTTTACAGAATCACCAAGTTGTGTTTTGGATAAAAATGAAAAGTAAAAATGAATAAAACAAGCATTGAGAGAGAAAAACAACATTAAGACTTACAATTAAAAGTTTTTTATTTTATTTTTGAACTGTTTATTTTATTTTAGACTCTTTTTATTAATAACCTTGATTGTTTAAATGTTTGTTTTATGTTATTGATGACTTTTTTAATTGTTGAAATAAACAATAACTTATTAATAATTAAAGTGTTGTATCATTCGATGCAATAATTTCCTTCATTACATCATTAGTTTATTGTTATACAGTCGGAGTTTGTTTAAAAAGGATGTTTTTTCGACTGAATTAGTCATTTTTTATAATATTAGTTAGATTTTTTTGTTAAAAAGGATATTTTTTTAATAAAATAGATTGATTATAATAAATTAGATATAATTTTTGTCAATTAGGAATAATTACCGTAATGAGGTAATATTTTTGTTAAATAAGATTTTATTATTATTATTCGAGGTATTATTATAATAAAAATAGGTTGAATTACCAAAACATTAGGTATATTTACATTAAATAGGTACATTTTTCGAACTTTAGATTTATTTACAATAATTTTAGGAATGATTTATTTGAAATATTATACATTTATTTTTAAATTAGGCACTTTTTAACGTAGTAGGAATTAACAATAAAAATATATAACCCATTTACAATAAAACAACTTTTAACGTATTTAACATCATTTAATTTAACATTTTTTCATTACATAAACATCATGTCTACTTTACAATACATTGATACATGAGATCCGGAAGCGAATTTAAATTACATTCAAAACGCGCCAACTCCAACAAGTGGTCAACCAGTTGTTCCATTTGTAATACCACATCAAAGCATTCCACCTATTGAAAAGAAAAAACGAGGAAGACCTCCAAAAAACACAAAATTGCAAATTCCTACTACATTATCAAAGAAGCGTGAGTACACACATTTGACAAATGCACAAAGAAATCATTTGTTTAAAGAATGGCAAACTCATGGAGATGATTGGTCATTCAGTGAATATTCTTCAATGGTTGGTATTAAAAAGAAAAGACTTGAAAGTATGTTGACTTTGCTGCGTCAAGGGAAGTCTATATACACAAAGAATCACTATAAACGCCAAAGTAGGACACTCCCCTTTCAAGAACTCGTTTATAAAGGAATTGAAATGGATGGAACAATTTCAGTAGCATCTCTTCGCAAAACAATTGCA